CTTTTGCATAAGTACAACAGAGCTGGGGGTCAAAAAGAAAATGGTGAGATCCAGGAGCCTCAGCCAAAACGAAGGGTCATCTCCTACTACTTCAAATAGTACTGCATCTAACAAAACAGCTTGGAAGGCTATTTAAAAACTGTCATACCATTAATTGTTTTAGCAGGATAACAAAGGAGACTGCCAATTAATGTGTAGGTACCCACAGAGCAAAACTTACTTCTGATGAACATTGTTCGCATAAAACAGCAAACCTGTATGTATTCAGATGTATATAAAAGAGATCTCACTCTGTCAGTCCTTTCCAATCTTCTGTGTGCTAGTGCTTCCTAAATGAGCTGTGCTACTCGTATTCTGATTATAGTGCTAGGTTTTTGCTAATACTATTGCTCTCTTCTAACTCTGTGAGACAGACCTGAGTTACTTTTGCCCCTCTTCCAGCGACCAGTTGAGAAGATGCATCCCAGCATACAAAATGCTTCCAATTAGGAATTTGTGCTTACATAAAATCAAATAATTTTTTTTTTTTTTTTTTTTGCATCTGAGACTCTGGCCCTCTGTATTATTACTGTAGTAGAAGTATATGATTTTAATTAACAGCAACAAACTAATTTTAGGTTAAAACTGAATGTCAGTGGAAACAGAAATAGCTGATAAGTGACATTAACACAGTTTTTGTGCAGCTGATGTTTGCGTGTGCATGTTGTGCTTCCCCCACCTTGTGCAGGAGCCTGTATTAGAACGAACCCAACCCAAAAGGTAAGCATAGAGCCCTTCGTGCCCTTAGTGAAATCCTCTTGAAACTTTTTGGTTCAAAGCAAGTAGCTCAGACTGTGTTAATTATGTAAGATCAGTCACACAGATTTCAGGGAGGCCTCTGGTATTTGATGTCTCATGCTGAAATACCTTCGGTTAACTGAAAAGCACTGAGAGAATTTGACTCTGAACTAAAACTTAAAATAAGTAACTAAATAAACCAACAGAGTCTGCCCTCCCCTGCTGAATTCATCCTTCGGAGCCTGATTAAAGAAGACATTCAAAGCAGAAGCTCTAGACTCGGGTTTCTTTTCGATTTGCTTTGCAGCATGACTCCTCTGGGTTGTGGTTTTGAGAATTTTTGGCTTTGAGCTTGTTTGTTTATTTGGGTGTCAGTGACAAAGGAGGAGAAATTCAGACTTCTTAGAAAATCGAGAACTCGATGTAAATTTTGCATAAAAGTCAGAACAGCTGGTGTGTGTTTTTCTCACAAAGCAAAAGATACGGGAGCGTTCCCCCGGCATATTAGGATGGAAACAGCTCGCGAATTTAATGATGACGCTTATTTTACAGGAGGAGGTTGGTTTTCAGTATTTTCTGCTGTACTTTGTTGCTATGGGATGGAGGCTGTTCCTGGGGTGAATGTGGGTGATCGGGGGAGGAGGGACAAGGCAGTCACTTCAGCAGCAAGGCAGAAAGTGAAGACAACAGCCTTTTTTTGGACGGTATTTACACATATGCTTTGCGTGGCTTGTTGACTCAGGACTTTGCACTGCGATGTAGAGGAAGCACATAGGGCCTTTCTCCCTTCAGAAGGGAAGGTGTGAGACTCCTCAGTAACGCTACCTTTGTGTTGCACTGAGCTGTCCTGAAATCAATACCTATTAAAGAAAACAGCCGGATTAATTCTCCTGAGTTTATGGAAGTAAATCATAAGGAATGTCTTTAGTACTGTGACAATGATAATCTTTAAAAAATGGCAGGAAAAATAACTCTTGCAAAAACAATCACCCCATCACACCTCTTACTATCCATACAGGTTTGTGGGCTTAGTAAAACCATTTTTAAGTGTTGTTTGCATTTTGAATTGGAGAAGAAAATATGATGGGGAGACTTTCAATGGCACACAGGTTTTCAAAACTCACTCGCTTAGTAATACTAATGAATAACATCTTGTCTTTTCATGAGTATGATTAGAGAAATTTAACTGAAAACAAAGGCAAAGAAAAACAAAGCACAGTGCTGCACTCTGTGCTCTTCAAAACCTGGCAAAGTTTTTAAATTTACCTCCAATTTGATTTCCAAAGGGAGATGAAATGTGTCAAACTTTCATAAAAGGGCCCAGAGGTCTGGCTCCTGCAAGAGCCACAGACGCTGGATATCCCAGAGCTGGTTTTGGACCCTGTGGGCCTATGAATGCAGAAGTTTGGGAATCAGGGCTCTCCGATTTTTCAGTTTTCTGGCTCCTTGTTGTCTTCCACGGGAACTGGAGAGGTGCTGCTTTGCCTCACCATAAAACCGAGGTTCCCAGGACTGCTAGGGTACGACTCCACGGCATCCCTGATTTTGCTCATGTGCAGAATAGTTTCCAACTAGGACTTGCCTCAGATGCTTAAACAAGACTTATCCTGTGACAATTGTTATGGTAGCACAGCCAGTGTGGTATGTGGGCTGAGACAGCTAAAAGCTGCTAATACAGCCGGAACTGGCAGAGAAGTGTGGCAAAGCCTAAATTAACTGCAGGGCTAGCGGAAAACCTCCTCATTCCTTTCCCGGTTGAGAAATCCTAAGTATGAGGTGAAGATGCCCTGGGCAGCTGGGGGGACACGAGGTCGAACAGGGAGAGGCTTGATGCTTCTAATACAACTTTGTGCAACTTTCTGCAGGAACCATCCATGCCTCGGGGGGGGGTGTGTGTGTGTTTTTAGCTAATACAGAAATGATCATTCCTACCAAGCTATGCAGTAGGCAGGTAGAGGGAGCTTTACAGCAGACCAGTTAAGACTTTCTGAGTAATGGGAAGAGGGGGGAGGGCACAACTTGATAGACAGGATGCAGAGAAGCCACTCGTAAATATAAAGGCAATTATATGTCTTTTCCAAGACACATTTCCATGTACACACATAATACACGGAAGTTTGCATTCTTTCTTGATGATTTTTATTAGTCATAGAATAGGACCCAGTCAGACTTTGACTGAATTCTATGGACTGTGCTAGCATCTGTCTTCTTAGATAAGGATCGAATTTGACCCAGTTCCTCCATGTGTCTTTTTTTTTTTTTTAAACCTATTAATGTGTGTAGTGTTGCCATAATGCTTTTCAAACACTCTCAACTGAAAAATAGGCTAAGTTTGAATGTTTAGTTCTTACTTTTATTTTATGGGTGGGTTTTTTTGTTTGCTTGCATGGATGTATGTGTGCTTAAGCCTTTGCCATTTTCTCAGCTACATTCTGATGGTTGATAGACCACAGGTTGAGAAGTGCCATTACACGTGGCTCCTCTTCCTCTGAAGAGCTCTTTCTAATACTGTCTTTTTAAAATTTTTTAAAATAACATCTATTTTAAAAAAGGTATTGCAGGACTGGCAAATCGAATGTAACAATTGGAGGATTAAGTAGGGTGAGACAGAGCTGGAAAAGTGGACTAAAGCCTTCTTTGTCAAGCATCCTCCTCTCTTCCAGCATCTGAAATAAATAAGGTGTTCTTGTGACAGGTACAATTGCTGTCATCCTATCCAGGCTTTGATGCAGTGAAGAACAATTAATTACATTTTATTACATAATTCTATAAATGCCATAAAAAGTTAATCTCGGTCATGTAGAACCAAACTGTGCTTGGATTTAATGAGAAATACCCATTCTGGAATTAACTAGAAAAACAGGGAAGTGTATAAATACCTAGGAAATGAAGCCTTCAGAGCTTAGACTCTCTTCCTTCTTTCTGGCACGAACTCCTGTAGCATTTGGAGGATGCACATAAATAGGAAGCAAGAGGGGAGAAACCCTGATATCAAGTGGACAGGTCTGTTGAACCTGAGGAAGAACAGACAGCATGTGACACACTGGTCATACTGCTTCATTTATTACTGATGTGCCGCCATGTCTTTTGTTGATGGATGTTGTAAAAGAACATTAATAGAATGGATGCCTGGCCCATCTCACAAAAAAGGGGGGGTGACATCCCGACTTCTCGAAGTCTTATGTTCAGCCACTGAGTCCGATCAGCACAAAGCAGTGCAGGTGGCATCCAGTATGTCACTGAAGGATGTCCTTGAACACATCACCCTCTCGCTTTTAGCCAAACACCTTCGGGTGCGGCACCCATGACTCAGTGCCATCTGTGGTGCCTACAGGTTTGGTAACATTTTCTGAACCCGCCCTGCAGCAAAAGCCTTCACAGTGTCACAGGCTTTTAATTTAGTTCAGCAAACAGATCTTTGCACTTGGCCTAGATGGGCTGAAAGGTTTGCAGTTTCTGGCATAGTGGGTCCGAGACGTGGGTTTGTCACGGAAGATGAACCCCAGTGAGTTAGAGCTGGTTCAGGGTGCTGCGCTGAGTGTTTTCCTGGCAGGCAGAACCGCAGGCTGCAGTGCCCTTAGTCGGTGTTCAGAAACATCGTGAAGCTAGACGTAAAATAACCTGAAGTGTCTAGCTTCTTCCCCTTTCACTTAAATATATCTAACGAGACTGCTTGTTCGGGTAGGTCACTGTAATCTGTCCTCTGTTTCATCTCCATGTACTCTAACAAATTTGTTTCTGTTCAGAAGGGTCAGGAGAGAAGCATTTTATTAAGGCTACTGTTAAAAGACTTTAAGATTTCTGGAGCAAATATTTATATCAATAAATCCTGCTTTTTTACATAGCCCCAGTGAATCCATTTTCAGGTCCTGTTCACCTTGCTCACTCCTGTGCTGATAAAGCGGCTGGGGACTGGTGTGTGAGATGAGGTGCGTGCGGAGGACATGATGTGCACTTGCATGGAAGAATGGTTGCGTGACTACCGCAAATGTGAATACCCATGGACGCGATTCTGCAGCTGCCACAGTTGCAAAATTGCCTTCGACTTCATTGCTGCACACTGAAACCAAGAGA